ATATATATATATATTCGATAACTTTGATATTTAGCCGTTGCTACAATGTTTGAAATAAAAATCTTACGAGAGGAAATATTTCGAAGGTGTGTTTCTTGTTCATATGAACCTTGTTCGAGAAATCAAGTCAGTGTTTAATAAAATAACAGTCATTCAGCTCGACATGCTATACTACCCGAAGGGAGCACGAGTACTGAGTTGCTGCTAGGTTGAGCAATGTAGATGCTGCGGTTGCATTCAAACCTTTCGATCAATAACTTCAAGGCCATTTCGAGTTCATTCACATCAAATCGCAGCAAATACAAGAATTTTCACAAACACAAGGCGATCAAAAGAGAGTTGGAATACAACATATGTAAGTTAGGGTATTCCAGCAGATTGTTCACCTAAACTGGTACCGTTTACTACGCTCAGGCCGACTGATAATGAGTACAAAACTTCTGCAAGCAAAATACAGATGGCTTCTCTTTTCACCTGAAACATTATTATTACTTTAACTCTTGCTAGTAATATTTGCATCGAGTTGAGGATTGTCCAACTAGCCACTACCCCACTCCCTCCCCGCCCCCCACACACATAGCCGTGTACGGGTACCAACCATCTCCATGCCAAATGACCAAATGACTAGCGGTTATCACAGTCAAAATCATGAGTACCGTCGCTCAACAACCTACAAGTGCCTGTTCGTACATTATTCATTGGTTGATGTCTGTCCATCAGACCCATCCATCTGTTTCTGCTGTCACTGATTGACAAAGTAGCATTCACGATGGTAGATCCTCATCTGGCCGAACAGAGTAATGCAGCTATTGTTCTTTCTGCAACACAGTTTTTCTGGCTAGAGTTCTCCCGAGCTAACAAAGGTAGCGGAGACTGGTGAGTGGAAACGTTCGCATCGCATTGCGCTAAGAGCAAACTTATTTGATGACCCAGGCCAACTACAGTAATTTCCTTTCCATCAACAGCATTTTCTAAAGAACGTACTTTTTATGGAACCTCTGTAAGTCCGTTTTTGCCACGTGGAAGTGAAATATCACCCCCATCCCGAGGATAGCTGAGAATGTATTGCAAAATTAGAACCAATCACGGCGGTTCACTATGCGTTGGAATATTTTGAGGCCGTTACTTCGAAGAATTAGTGGAATAATTGCTCGCTTTTCTCATTGAATTTGAATACTATGGTGATTTGCAAAGAAGCGGTGAACTTCAGATTCACGCGGTAAATTTTTTTGGATACAGACTTATCACACCTCAAAGTTGTCCTACATACTGACCAACCATTGTTGTTCATTTTAGTGCGTAGATTATAACGTCCTCCGAGAGAACTTAGTTTCATTCGGAGGGCCATTTGACTGGATTTGACGTCGACCTTCTGCCCGTTTTTGTTACCAGTAGAAAAACACATTCACTCACGAAATTACCACCGATTTCATCGGTGGGAAAAATTGCTTGGTAGAGTGAAAACAGAATTTTCTACTTAGGTTTTTACATCAGCCCCACACCACCTTAGATTTCGTCAGTGCACCTCGGAGTGGAGGTTTCGCCTCGCAGCAACATTCGGAATTTCCATTGAGTGCTGATTGACTTGTACGGTGCTGTTTTGATGAGCTGCCGGCCGATTTTGCGCGCCCTTCCGCTTCTAGCATCATCATCATCATTGTCAGCTGTAATAACCACGTACCCGTACAGTTTCGTCCACCGATGATTTTGGAGGTGGGGTAGGTGGCTGTGCATTGAAGGCAGGAGCTGATAAATTAGTGCGTAAATGCAGCACTATAGGTGGACTGTTAAGTGGGGGGATTTGGGAAGAGAACTATTCATTGAAGGCAATAGCTTGGATGCATGAGC